TATATATAAGAGACGAGTCAAGAGTACATGAAATTTAAAGCATCAACTGGAATTGGTTGTTAGGAGTTCTATGGTATCCTTTCTGAGGCCAGTTTTAGTCTAGTGTAGGAAATGGCAGATTAACTGATTGACTAAGAATAACAGCTAACATTTATTGAGCACTTACTCTATTAAAGAGACTGTCCTAAGCTGGCATGCACATTCACACTTGTGTCTACATTGCTTACTTCTGTGCGCACACACATAGACTCCTACACATAATCCTACAATTATATCAGGTGGCCATTATTTTTATCTTCATTTCAAAGAAAAGCTAAGTAATTGGACCAAGACCTATCAGCTAACAGGTGTGAAAGCCAGACATACACCAAGCCATCCTATCTTCTGACTAAATTCCTCTACACAGATGTGTGCACAAGGAGAGTGTTTCATTTCAGTGTATTGTGGGCTTTAAGCTTCCTTTAAAAGTCTACAATTTTAAGCAAGTTTTAAAATTTACACACTGTGATGCCACGTCAAGTACCAGGTAGGTGTTGCTGACAGGGCAGAATCAGCAGCATTAACCCTTCCTGTTCCAACGCCCTCCTTATACAACTGCTCAACTCTCAGAAACGAAGGCACAGAGCAGGCCAGGACTTCCGCTTCCGCTTTCCTCCACCCCATCAAGAACTTCCTTCTGTGTTACCTTTTCTCAATCCAAGTCTGCCCTTTGTGACCATTGTTCTTACAGAGTGAAGCTGAGAGGCAGCGTACTGCAGAGGAAGGAGGCAAATTTCATGTTAGAAGGATGTTAGTCTGTGAGCACACAGTGTGCGTGAGTGTGCACATGTGAATGATGGAGTACCATGCCCCACGAATGTACTAGGTGAGAATACAGCTGCCAGGTCAGAAAAACACCCAATTTTTAAACAACTTATTACTAAGCCAACTGTGCTATAGAGGGTACTTTCTCAAAAGTTAGAAACCTGTATTAGACACCAATTGTGCCTATTTACAGCTTTCTGTGTAAGACTCACAGATTGGAGGATTTAGAGCCAAGTCCCATCTCAAAAGTATGTATAACAGCAGATCACACAATAAAGTTTTATGAGCATTAAATAGTAGCGTAAGGAGACAGGGTAAATACAAATCTACAGGTATGATTACTAGTGTTTAAAGTGCAGGCTTTGAAGGGAACAAGTAAAGGAAAATAAGTTTCATTGGCTGGAAAAATGGTTGAAAGAAAGGCAACATACTGAAAGAACGCAGGAAGCCTGTTCTGAAAAATATTATGTTCTAATGAATCACTCACAAGTCTGTGCAACAGTTTGTGGTTGTTTAGTTATTGCAGTTTTGTTGTCGTCAGCATTGATTACCTTACTGTAACTTCTTAGCTTAGCCTGGTACTACCTTCTAGAATTGTTTAAGTTCCCTGGCTTCCTATAATGGATATGTTTGAACAAGATTACTATACTAAACCCAAGAAAAACATTCTTATTTGTTCATTTACTTTGAAGCTTACTCAGGACAATAAATTTAGGCCTTGATTTAAAGAAAGGCAAAATGATTGGTTCTTTATTAAAGAAAAAAATTAAAAGGTTCACTTTCTAGTGAGCTCATTTTCCCTGCTAAGTGTTGTTGCCTCATTAAGGAGAGCTTGAGGAAACTTCGAGATCAGATTCCTTTACTGCTAAAGATGCTATCAGCTTCCTCGCCTCAACAGAGCCCTCACCTTGGGAGGTTTTTCTGCCCGGTCATGGGAAACAAATCTCAACAGCTTAGTCATGCTGTGCTTGCTTCGGCTCACGTTCAGGTCACAGCTAATGCCTGGTGTCAACTGGTCAACCAGGGTTCCTTAGAAGAGGGATGCAAGGGAAGCCATGGGAGGTCGACTGTAACCCACCCAGGAGGCCCATGTGGGACGCAAGTAACGGGTAAGACTTTCCAGGCTGTCTCACTCCACTCCATTACCTGAGACACTGAAGGTGGAGAGTCTCATCAAATTTTTGCTACTCCAGCAATGTTGCTGGATTATTAACTAAATAAATGAAGTAAAGTTGAATTAAAGTGAAGATGAAAGAAGTGGCAAACTCTAAAGAATGAGGATAATTTTATCCCCTGGCAAACAGAAGCGATGCAGAGGAGGAAGTGTTGCTGAACGGGATGGGATGGCAGGAGCTTGGGCACGCGCTGTTGGTCTGCTCCCAGCTGCAACCTGAGAAATTCATTTAGCCTGTATCTTTG